ATTAGTTTCAGATCAAATAAACTTTAAGACAAAAATCAGCAAAAGAGACAAGGAAGGATATTATATAATGATTATAAAGGGTCAATCCAAAAAGAAGACATAATCATAATATCTGTGCACCCAATGACAGAGCCCCAAAATACATAAATCCAACTTTAATGGAATTGAAAAGAGAAATCGACAACTCCACAATAATAGTAGGAGACTTTAATTCACCACTTTTGATGAAGGACAGAACAACTAGAGAGAAACTCAACAAAAATACAGAAGTCTAAAAAACACAATGAGCCAACTTGATCTCATAGACATACACAGAACACACCACCCAACAACAGCATAATATACTTTTCCAGTGCACAGGGAACATTCTCCATAATAGACCATATGTTAGGACACAAAACAAGCCGGAAAAAATTTAAGAACATCATAATACTACAAAGCATCTTCTCAGATGTTGATATAAAATTTGAAATCAACAACAAAAAAACCAAGGGAAAAAAAATTAAATACATGGAAATTAATAATACTCTAAAACTACAGAGTAATAGTAGAAATAAAAAAATGAAATGAAAAAAATTCCTTGAATAAAATGAGAATGAAAACACAGCATACTAAAATCCTTGGGACACAGCAAAAGCAGTGCTCAGAGGACAACTTATTAGCAGTAAACACACATCAAAAAAGAAGAAAGGATTACTATCAATACCTTAACCCAAAATCTCCAACAATTAGAAAAAGAATAGCAGTAAGTCTACAGTCAGCAGAAGAAAGAAAATAGTAAAGATTTGAGCAGAAATAAATGAAACAGGAAAAGAATAGAAAGAATCAACAAGACTAGAAGTTTCTCTGAAAGGATTAATAAAATTGACAAACATCTGGCAGATTTATTAAGGAAAAGAAGGAGAAGATGCAAATAAGAAATGAAATAGGCAGTGTCACAAGGCACAGCAGAACCAAGTGAAATAAAAAGGTTAATAACAATACTAAGAAAAATTGTACTCCAGCAAATTTGAAAACCTAGAAAAAATGCACAGATTTCTAGCAACACACTCCCTTCCCAAACTAACAAAATCTGAGGTAGAACATTGAACAGACCCATCACAAAACAAGAAATTGAATAGGTTATTTTAAAAAAACTTCCCCCAAAAAATGTCCTAGCCCAGACAGCTACACTTGCAAATTCTATGAAACAGAGAAGAGCTTATATCAGATCTGCTCAGAATACTCCAAAACATAGAAAATTATGGAATTCTCCCGAATTCATTGTATGATGCAAGCATAGCCCTAATACCAAAACCAGGCAAAGACACAACTAAAATAGAAAATTATAGACAAATATCCCTCATGAATATAGTCACAAAAATTCTCAACAAAATCCTAGCCAGTAGAATCCAAGAATATATCAAAAAACTAATGACATCATGACCAAGTGGAATTCATGCTAGGTATGCAAGGATGGTTCAGTATTAGAAAAACAATCAATGCAATCCACCACATAAATAAAGCAAGAGAAAAGAACCATGTAATCTTATCAATTGATGCAGAAAAGGCATCTAACAAAATCCAGCACCCATTCCTGATTTTTTTTTTTAATTAACAAAATAGGAATAGAAGGGCAATTCATCAACATAATTAGGAGCATATACACAAAACCAAATGCTAACATTATTCTCAATGGAGAGAGACTGAAAACAGATACCCTTTATTATCACTCTTACTCAGTGTTGTATTGCTATTTCTGACCAGAGCAGAAGGCAAGAAAGTGAAATAAAAGGCATCCAAATTGGCAAAGAAAAAATAAATAATCTTTATTTGCAGATGACATGAAAATCCCACAGACTCAACAAGAAATTTGTGGAATAAATGGAAGTATTCAGCACAATGGCAGAGTAGAGGATCAACATATGAAAATCAGTTGGAGTCCTCCTGTACACTAACAAAGAGAACTCTGAAAAGGGAATCAGGAAAACAATAGCATTTACAATAGCCACCCCAAAAGATGAAGTACTTAGGAATAAATCTAACCAGAGACACAAAAGACTTATATGAAGACAACTACAAAACACTACTACAAGAATCCAAAAGAGACCTACAGAAGTGGAAGAGTATACCATGCTCATGGACAGGAAAACTTAACATTGTGAAAATGTCAGTACTACCAAAGCGATCTGGAGATACAATGCAATCCCAATCCAGATTCCATCATTGTTCTTTAATGAGATACAGAAAAATCAGTCAGCAACTTTATATGGAAAAGAAAGAAACCTTAGATAGTCCTAGCACTGCTAAAGAAGAACAAAGGAGACCTCACATTCCTGACCTCAAAACCTACCATACCTGTGGTGGTCAAGATAGCCTGGTATGTTGACAGACCATAGACCAGTGAAACAGAATTGAGAACCCAGAAGTAAATCTATCCACCTTTGGACAGCTTTTGCTCGAGGAAGGGACAGAACTCATTAAATGGGAAAGAGATGGTCTCTTTACAATTGGTGCTGGCAAAATGATATCTATGTGCATAAAATGAAAGATATCTCACACCATATACAAAAACTAACTCAAGAAGGATCAAAATCTAAATACAAAACCTAAACCTCTAAAATCATCAAAGAAGAATTAGGGCGAACATCTGGGGCTCTAATATATAATATAAATACACTATCAAACATAACTAAAAATGCACAAATCTCTGAAAACAAAATAGATAACTGTGACATCCTAAATATTAAGCATTTATGTACACCAAAGGAATTTCACCAAAAGAGTAAAAAGAAAACCTACAGACTTGGGGAAGAGGGTGACAGCAACATGTAGACAAAGGACTGATCTCTAAAAGGTATGGAAAACTTCAGCACCTCAATTGAAAAAAGACAATCCAATTTAAAAATGGGCAGAGAACATGAACGGACACTTCACCAAAGAAGACATTCAGGTAACCAGTGAACACATGAAGAAACGTTCACAATCATTACCTATTAAAGAGATCCAAATTAAAACAATAATGAGATATCTCACCCCAACATTAATAGCAAAGGTTTAAAAAAAAAAAAAAAATCCTGGTAAGGGTGTGGAGAGACTGGAACCCTCATACACAGCTGGTGGGACTATAAAATGGTGCAACCACTGTGGAAAATGATGGCGCTTTTCTTTAAAAATTGGAGATAGAAATACCATATAATCCAATAATCCTACTACTGGGATATATATCCTAGAGAAATAAGCCATGATGTGAACAAATATTTGCAACATGTTCATTGCAGCACTATTCATATTTACAATATCAACATGATGGAAACAACCTAGGTACCCATCAATGGATGAATGAACTGTGGTACATTCAGTGGAGTACTATGCGACATTAAAGAATAGTGATAATCTACAAGACACCTCATAATGTGGATGAATCTGGAGGATGTTCACAAAGGGCAAATGTTGTATGAGACTATTATAAAAAGTGAAGAAAAGCTTTTGATGCAGAAAGAAGCATTCTTTGAGAGTTACTGGGGTAGGAGAGGAGGGAAGGGTAAATCACTAATTAGTAGGTAGACACATATTAACTTGGGAGAAGGAAAAGTTAGTGTACAGAAAGGGGGAGATCACAAAATGATCAAGGCAAAGGAAGACACTGGGAGGTGCTCAAGAGCTAAAGGTAACAAAGGCAAATACTATTACCTACACATCCTGCAATAATAGTAACAACAGTAATCTATGAGTGGATACCTAGGTACACAAACAAGCTGAACAGGTATAGAAAGGTGGACAGGACTGTAAGGTGCTGTTGAGTTGTCTCTAACTCATAGTGACCTTATGTACAATAGAAGAAACACTGCCCGGTCCTGTGTCCACCCCCATGATCCCTGTTATACCTGAGCCCATCATTGCAGCCACTGTGTCAGTTCATCTTGATGGGGGCCCTCTACACCCATGAATAAATACAGGTTGGACAGAGAATATTTCTACATATGTATTTACATGTGTTGCAAATATATCCATGAATATAGTAGAGCATACAGGGGGTAAAGTTATGAAAACTTCTTAACCAAACACCTTGAGCGAATGAATCACTAGACTTGGGGGTTCAGGACCATAGTTTCAGGGAACATCAAGGTAAAATGGCATAGCAGAGTCCACAAAGACAGTATTCTACATCCAACTTTGGTGAGTAGCAACTGGGGTCTTAAAACTTGTGAGCAATCATGTAAGGTACTATTATTGGTCTCTCCCTGTCCAGAACAAAGAAGAGGGAGGGGGAGGAATCAGACATGGAAACAGTCCAGAGGAGTAATTGGCCACACAAACTCCAGCCTTCATTACCATGAGTCTAGAAGATCTAGATGGTGCCAAATACCAATACTGACCACAATGGGAGGTCCTAGATAGAGTGGGAGAGAAATGTATAGCAAAACTCAAACTCACAAAAAAGATCAGGCTTACTGGTCTGATGGAGACTGATGGAAGCCCTGAGACTGTAGCCCTTAAACACTCTTCAAGCTTGGAATTAAACTTACCCCTGTGGCCCGTCTTTCACCCAGCAGTGGACAGGCCAATAGGATAAACAATAACACCAGGAAGGTATGCAGTCCTTAGAGCAATCAACCATATGAAATCAATAGGGAAGCATTTGCCCACAGATAAAACTCAGAAGGCATTAAAGGATAGGAGAGCAGGACAAATGGAAACTGAACAGAGAGAGGAAGTTGTAAGAGTACTATTACATTCTGAAGAGTGCAATCAGTGTCACAAAATGTGTATGAATTGTTGAATGGAAAACCAATTTGTTTTGTAAACCTTCACCCAGATTACAATAAAGTCTTTAACAGAGTTTGTGTGTTTAGATACAGAAAAGCACAGATATGTGTTCAGTTTATCAAATTTAAATGATTCATCAATTTCTGTCTTTTAGCATAGTTGTTATCTGTACACATTTTATATACCTGCATATATGTTATATTTATGAAATGCGATGAATGTATTCACCAATTTCTATTTATTTTTTATAGAGTCATTTGCCCTGGCTCCATAGTTCCCACCCAGGATTAGAGAAAATCAGTGCTATAGTATGGGAAGGCAATGACTGCAAGAAAGCTGACATGTCTGTACTTGAAATCAGCGGAATGATAATGAACAGAGTGAGTTTTTAAACTTTATTCTTTTTAGTTCAAGGGTAAGACTTGGTAATTATTAACATAAAATAATTACTTGAAAATTATGTTTATAACCTACTTACTTCATTTCTTCAAACTTAAAAAAGTTATTTGGGGAATTTGGCTGAGTATGTAATTTAAGTAGTGGTTTGTCACCAGCCTATCCTTAGCTTTCAGTATTTTCATTCCTCTGACTGAGAATAGAAGATACGATCTAAAATTTTATTCTTTCCTTTGCTTTCAGCAGATCCAATTGAGAAAATGCTAGATAAAAGCATGTGTTCATTATACTTATTTTTTGGTATAGTCCCTATA